CGCGCGCGCGCGCGCGCGCACTCCCGGGCTCAGACACACATGTACACACCGGCGCACGGACTCACACTTGGCCAGGCGTGTACCCATGCTCCTAGAGGCAGGCGTGCGCGCACACGCCCGTGTCTGTTCACGGGCCCAGGCCGCTCCCCCTCCCACCCGCACCAGTGCTCGAAAGGCCCTGTAGGTAGAGGCCGGCCCCGCAGACTTTCGCTCCTCCCCCTGCCTGGACACAAGATCCTCCTCTATCCTCCCTCCGCGGGGGACCAGAACACCTGTCCACTGCATACCCACTGAGGCCAGACCCCATTTTGTCCCCAAGGAGGCCCAGCTGGGAAAGTTATTCTATCAGAGCGCCCCCACTGGGATCTGCCCGTTCACCACCACCCCCCATCCCCAACCCCAGGCCTGGGGAGGCTTCTGTATAGCTATCACTCAAAGGGTGTAGGGGTGGGAGATGGAAGTATCCTGGGTGCCAGAGACCACCTTGGCACCCTCTCCACATGGGGTCCACAAGCCTGGACCAGAGAGTGTTTGTGGGCAGGAATAAAGGGTAAGCAGGGACCTAGGAGTAATAGAAGAATCTGGAACAGAATGAAGAGAGAGGGACAAGGGTCCGGAAGGATGCCAAATGCAGTGGGCAGGGCTCCCCAGCTCCCTCCCCTGCCCTCTCCTGTGTCCAGAGGCCCCTGACTCTGGATAACAGACTGAGGAGCTCTGAGCAGGCAGAAAATGTATGTCCCAGAGGAAGCAGGGAGGAGTCAATGGCTGGAAGAGGATGGGAAACCGCCTAGAGGCCAATCAATATCAGTAAGTGGAAACTGGAAGGGGGGAGGGGAGGCAGAGGGCACCTACGAAGTGTGCGGGGTGGGGGGGGGGCGCGGTAAAAGTGTGCAAGAGATCGATAGAGGCTGCAGAGAGGATGTAGCAGGTGGGGAGATGGGAGACCGAGCCCAGACAGAGGCTGGCTGGAGAGCCCAGTGGGCAGGCCTGGTGGGAGCCTGTGCGGGCACTGGGGCCAGTTACCAAAGGCCCTGGCCTCCTTCCCCTCTGGCTCCACATTCTCTCCTTTTTTCTCCCCGGTCTTCCCAGATGCCCTTGGGCCTTTGAGGGACACAGGCAGCGTCCCCATGCCACAGATCAAGATGTTGAAGCCACCAATGGGGAACGGCCAGTTTGGAAGGTCAGGCCCCCCTCCACACCTTGGTCTCTTCTCCACCAGACGGCCCTCAGAGGACTGACTGCCTCCCTTGGCCTCTCCCAGCCCCACCCCTCTCCCTTCCTTCAAGTCCAGAGCTCCCTGGGGTCCTCCGGGGTCTCCAGGACACTGCTGCCAGGTTGCTGGGAAACAGTCACAGAGCGGTAGAAGACCCAGAGCCCTAAGGGGGGCCAGGAGGAGAGGCAGACCCAGGAGGAGAGCCATGTGACTGGGAAATGGCAGGCAGTCCTTCTCCTGGGCCCCCGTTCCTGCCCCTGTCCTTGTGGGGACAGAGGCATCAGAGCTGAGCACAATGGTCCCCATGCAGTTCTTGGGGTGCACCCACCTTGGTGTTAGGCCAGCTTTGTCCAGATCTCCTGGCCTCGCAGACCAGTGTGTTAGACTGGTGACACACCCCCACCCCCATTCCACCTGCTTCCCAGCCCCAGCTGCCCCAAGAGCAATTCTATCCCATCTGCCTGGAACCTGGATCCGAACCTAACCCCTCCCAAGGCCCCATAAGCCATCCTGTGCCCCTTTCTGTTCCCAGGCTCCACCACAGAGGAGTGGAGTGGTGACCAGATCCTGATGGCCTCTCCTCCATCATCAGCATGGCCACTGCCACCCAGGACTCATGAGCAGTAGGTGGTCCGGCATAGCTTACAGGGAGCTCAGGACTGGGAGTCAGAGCACCTAGGATCCGGCTGAGCTTTACTCCCCACCTTTGGTGACAGAAGCCTTCACACCCGCATCAGTCACACAGCAGAGGGGGGGGGCTCTTCCCCTGGCCCCTTCTGGGTCTGACCCCCCACAGAGGATCAGGAGAAGGGTCTCCAACCACTCCCTTCTCTGAGGGTCAAAAAATGGTCTCACCCCACTGTCTTCTCTGAGGGTCAGACGAAAGGGCTTAGCAACCACAAATGCCACCAGTAGAGATGGTCCCAGAAAGCAACAAAGGGACCCCCTATTCCGTACTGAGCCCCCTGGGGGGAGACCTTGGCTCACCCCTGTCTGTAGACCCTGGCAGCCAGAGGGCTTCAAAAGCCACCAAGACCAGATCACAGATCAGATGAAGATAACCCTCAGGCTGGGCGGGGCAGGGAACCAGGAAAGCATCCAGGGAGGCGTGGTGGGGTGGGGCACTCTTCAAAGGGGAGGGAGAAACCGAGCCCCTCCCAAGAGCCCCAGTGCTGGCAGCAGCTGGACCCTCCCAACTCCCACCCAAATGAGCCCATCACACCCAATGCTGCAGGGTGGGATGGAGACAAAGGTGGCGGCGAGGGCAGCGTGCTGACCTCCTCAGGTCTGCTATCCGCAGAAGCCCACTGTCCCCTCCAGTCTCAGTCTCTCCACATCTGTGGTTGTGGTTGTGTGTGAGTGTGTGTGAGTGTGTGTGTGTGTGTGTGTGTGTGTGTGTGTGTGTGTTCTGCCAAGTAGCATCTGGTCTGCTTGGTTTCAGCAGGAGTCACCCCTCCAGGGAACACCATCCAGCT